GGAGGATGGAGCACGAGAGACAGTAGCAGGAGGGGGGCTAGGAGCAGAAAGCATGCGGCAGAACCAGACGGGCAGATCGGGCGGGTAGACCCTGACAGGCCGGCCAGGCGGCCAGGTCGAGCAGGCGGGTTGCTGAAGCGTGCGTCCTGCATGAGTCGCGAGGAAGCCTTGAGTGACAGCGCAATTCCAAAATAAATCTCGTGGGGAAATCCAGAGCGAGAGCGTGACTCCTGAGTGTCGAGGGGGCGGCACCTGAGTAAATTGAAAGGAAGTCCGAAGCGACAGCGCGATTCCCGAGTGCCGAAAGCGCGACGCTTGAATCAATTGCGAGGAAGTATCAGGCGAGAGCGCCATTCTTCGATACATTGCAAAGAAGTCCCTAGTGAGAGCGCGATTCTCCAATACATTGCAGGGAAGTATCTGTTGGGAGCCGCTGTTGTTGTAAATGGGGGGCCAGGGGTACAGTTTGATCAGGAAGAACTGCCCTTGCAAAAAACACAGCAAGCCCAGGAGGGGCACCTCAATTTCAAAAACACGTATCTGTTACGCGAATGCGTGGGTCTTGCATGATCCGCCAGGAATTATCGGACGGGATCGCGATTCCTAAGTAAATCATGAGGAAGTCCAAAGCGAGAGCGCGACTCTTGAATGGCGAGGCCGAGGTGCTTTCATAAATTGCGAGGGGGTCACCCGCGAAAGCGCGATTCTCAGATAATTTGCAAGGCAGTCCCTAGCGAGAGCGCGATTCCTCAGTAAATTGTGAGGAAATGTCAGGCGGGAGCTGTTGTTGTTGTAGTCCGGGGGCCGGCTGTGCAGTTTGAGCAGGAAGATTTTCATGTTGAAGAACGGGTGCGAGCCCCGCGAGGGACACTTCAAATGAAAGACACATGTTGTTGAGCGGGGGAATCAAGTATAATTATTCTTCGGTCGTGAAACCTGAACACCAACAACGACATCAAGCATTTCAAGACTGTTACTTCTTAGTGGCCCGCGTGCCATTCAACATGAATAACGAACACCCCCAATGCCCGCCCTCTTCGTCTTCGATCGTACCTCTTTGGGGTATACGATCTTCCTTACCTAGCACGTGTAGTTGGCGCAGCCCCTGAAGCAGAGGATGGGAGGGAGGAGGGAAGAGACAAGGGGGAGGGCGGAGGATGGAGCACGATAGAGATTAGCAGGAGGGGGGCGAGGAGCAGGAGTACAAGCGGCAGACCCAGAAGGGCAGGTCGGGCGGGCGGTCTCTAACGGGCAGGTCGGGCGGGCGGGCCCAGACGGCGAGGTCGAGCGGGCGGGTCGCAGAACAGACACTCCCACATGAATCGAAAGTCTCGAGCGATGGAGCGATTCGCAAGTGAATCAGGAGGAATCCCTGAGCGAGAGCGTGATTCCTTAGTCTTGGGGGCACGGTGCCGCATTCAATCGTTAGGAAGTGCCACGCACGAGCGCGATGCCTGCTTGATTTAGGAGGAACTTCCGCGCGAGAGCACGGTTTGGACATAAACTGTGGGGCAGTCTCAGGCGGGAACCGTTGTTGGTGTAGTCTGGGGGCCAACACCCGAATCAGAGCCACAATAATGTGTTTCGATTCTTGTGTTTAAAAAAGGTGCGAGCCCCAGGCGGATCAGTTCAATTGAAAAACATAAAGTGCAACGGTGGGGTCAATAATACTGATTCTTCAGAAATTAGTAGATTCAATCCTTTGAAGGCTGCTCGCTCCTATCTGCTCGCGTGCCCTTCAACACGTATATCCCAAACCCTCGATACCCGCTCTCTCCGTCTTCGATCGGAGCCCCCCTTTGGAGGTACATCTTCCCTGCCTGCCGCGCGCAGTTGGCGCAGCCTCCAAAACAGGAGGAGGGAGAATCGGAGGTTGATAGACCTCCTGCTTTGACACGTCGATTAGCGAATTGCCCGTTTTCGGTTCGCGAGAGGGCGTCGCGGCCGTTATTTTTTGCGGTTCCTGCAGGTCCGTCGGTTTCGGTCCCAGGCCCTTTTCACTAAAGGGTGGTTTACTAAGGGAGGTTTGTCCGCCGCCGAGAGAAGGATGGAGTACGAGAGACAGTTTCAGGAGGGAGGCCAGGAGCAAGAGAATACAATGGATCGAGACGGGCGGGCCGGGCGGGCAGACCCCCAGCTGGCCGGTCTGGCGGGCGAGCTTCTCGACGGCGGGGGGCGGGCGGGCGAGGCGCTGAAGCATCGGTCCAATATGAATCGCAAGGAAGCTTCGAGTGATAGCACGCTTCCCAAGTAAATCCCCAGACTTCCGGGGACCCCCCCTCCACACCCCTCTTATCCCGGCAGGGCCGTTCACCCCCCCGAGCGAAGCAAGAGTTTTGTCTCGAGTCGTGGAGACTCTTTAACTATCTGAGACTCGCGGAGAACTCGCACGCTGGGTCGGCGGAGTTGGTGTGTGTATATATATATATATACATATAGACCGCTATCCTCGTCAGCCCGCTCTCTCTCTCTCTCTCTCTCTTTTTCTCGCTATCCTCGTCAGCCCCCCCGCCCATCGAACCCCTCCCGTCATCGAGCCCCGCACTGCCAGCTATCCTGCCCCCCCTCCGCCCTCTGCCCACCGCCGTCCCCGCTGCCTCCTCCGCCCCTCGCGCCCTCCCCTGCTGCCTGGTCCACCCACGGGCTGCGCCAGAGGTTGCGCCATCCATGGGCTGCGACGCCACTGCTCTGCGCGATGGGCGGCGCCACCCACGAGCAGGATTTCTGACCTCCGTGCCACCACGACGCAAGATGAGCAACACGTGGCACCGTGGGGTGCCTCACGCATGGGTTGCGCCATTCGCTTCGCCAAGGGTTGAGACATCCATCAGGGGGGGGAAACAACACACAGACACAGTTAATCGTCGATTCTCCAGAAATATAGGAAAATACGGGAAGTGGGGGGGAAGACGAGAACCCAGAAACTATGGGAAACTATATGGGAATCCTATTATTTGTGTGTGTATGTGTGTGTGTGTGTCTGTCTGTCTGTCTGTCTGTCTGTCTGTCTGTCTGTCTGTCTGTCTGTCTGTCTGTCTGTCTGTCTGTCTGTCTGTCTGTCTGTCTGTCTGTCTGTGTGTGTGTGTGTGTCAGGGCCCCTTCAATCCATGAGGTTCGCCGTAGGTTGCGCCATCCGTAGGGTCTGCCGCGGGTTGCGCCATTCATAAGTTGCACCATGGGTTCCGCGATCGGTTGCGCCGTAGGTGGCGCCATCCAATAGGTGCGCCATCGGTTACGCCGAACATGGGTTGCGCCCTGGCGGCCGAAAGTAAATCTGCCAGCTGTTTCTGGTGCCAAAGGTTGCGCACTCTGCGACCGAACATGTGACTGGTTGCCAACGGGTGCGCTATGAGTGGCGCTTTGGCGGTCGGACAAAATCTTGCCTGCGCACGAGGTCGCAATAGGTTGCACCCTCGTTGGCCAAGAGAAAGCTTGCTTGCTAACGGGTGCGCCGTAGGTTGCGCACCTGGCGGCCCAATATAAAGTTGCTAGCTGACGGATGGGCCATAGGTTAACCGCATGCCGATGATAATAAAGGGACCCCCCCTTCAGTGTTTAGAGTTGATTATCGTCGCCCTATACGAAATTCAAATTGGGCGGCGCGCGCTGAGGCCGAACTTCATTATCACCTCGAAACGCTATGTTGAGATAGCAACATCAAGCGATGCTGATATAGCAACATCAAGCGAAGCGATCACACTGTTTCAGGATGTGTCAAGCGAAACCAATAATTTTGGGAGGCAGACTCAAACGAAACGAGCAATGTTTCAAGGATGTCTCAAGGATGTTTCAAGCTAAACCAGCAAGTTTTTTCTTTTTAATTATATGTTGTATTATCTTCCTTTTTATATATGTATCTCTCCCCGCGCGCGCCTGAACTTTTTTATCTCTGGGGTTGATTATCCATGGAAAGGGGAGCACATGAGCTACCCTACATGAGCACTTAAAAAATCAATTTTCATAAAGCGCTTGTAAATTAAAATTGATATATTTGGAACTTTCCATTTGTCCGTTCTTCTTCTCTTCTTCTTCTTCTCTTCTTCTTCTCTTGCTATTATTATTCTTTTTTCCTCTTCTTCTTTTATATTTCTATCTGTCCTCACGCTCGCCTGAACTTTTTCATCCCTGGGGTTGATTATCCATGGAAAATGAAGCACATGAGCTACCCTACACGAGCACTTAAAACATCAATTTTCATAAAGCGTTTGCAAATTGAAATTGATAGATTTGGAACTTTGGATTTTTCTTTTCTTCGTCCTCTTCTTATTATCCTCTTCTTCTTCTTTCTTATTATTATTATACTGTATTCTTCTTCTTTTATATTTCTCTCTGTCCCCACGCACGCCAAGGATGTCTCAAAACGTGCTCGGCTTGGTCTCCTCTTGATCATCTCTTACTTCGAGATTATGATAAGGTCTGCTGTGCTACTTTTACTATCTCTCCCTGAACCCCGAACTTTATTATCCCCTAGTGTTTATTCTCACGGGCATGAGGTTATAGGTTTTATCGTCGGCGGCCGAACACACTATTGTTTGCTACGGGGTGTGACCAGTCAGTCAGTCTGTCAGCCAAGGCACCCTACGACCCTACGAACATCAGATTCGGGCTACGCTTGAACAAAATACGATTCAGGATGGGGAAGCCGTAATGGGGACGGAAAGGATGGAGACGAAGCTCGACAGCAGTCCCTCTCCGCTTTGGACTGGGTTCGTTGCTGGTGCCGCCGCGGAAGTTGCCCACTTGCGACCAACTTCGCTTGGCCAACAGCGGCCGCTGTCGGTTTCTCCACTTCCGCCTGCCTCCCGCCGTAGAAGAATTGGCTCAGGCGGCACCGCGCAGCGCCTGGCCGAAGCTGCCGCGCTCCGCGCGCCCCCGCGCGCCCTCCCTCGCGCGCGCCCACACCCCCGCCCCGCATGGCGGCGGCTGCCGCGCCCGCGGGGGCGTCGGTGAGGCGGCGGTGAGGCGGAGGCTTAGCGCGCCGGGCGGCGGCCACAAGGGTCATGTCGGTGGACTCCCCCGACCTCGTGGAGCCCACGGGAAGGCCCGTGCAGCTCGTCGCCGCACGCAGGCGCCTCGGGAGCTGGCACTTCGAGGTCGGCGAGGATGCCACGCGGCTGTTCGAGAGCTACAAGGACTGCCAGGTGATGGTGTGCACCGTGTGCGGCTCGCACCAGTCGGGAAAGAGCTACCTGGTCGGGATCCTGGCGGGCCGCCTACCCGGGCCAGAGGCCACGGCGCGCGGCGGGGCGCGGTTGGCCGACGCCGCCGCGGCCAGGAGCGGGGACGGCGGCGGGCTGTGGGTGACCCCAGCGCGGGAGCGCGACAGCGGGCAGGAGCTACTGCTGGTGGACTGCGAGGGCCTCCGGGGCCCCGCTTCGGACATGGACCGCGACGCCAAGCTCGTCGCGATGTGCCTCCTGCTCTCCTCGGTCATCCTGGTCAACGTGAAGCATGTGGTCAGCGAGGCCATACTGCGGGAACTGGGCCTCGTCTGCCAGCTCGCCAGCCACCTGGCGCATCTGGCGGGGGGGCAAGGCGCCATGGAGGCGCTGAGCAAGCCCGCGCTGATGCTGGTGCTGCGGGACTTCGCGCTGGACCTCCGGGACGCGGACGGCTCGAGCCTTCAGCCGGACGAGTACCTGGAGCGGCTGCTCCAGCCGCAGCAGCGGTCCGCCGAGAGCCCACAGCGCTCGCAGATGGGCCTGGAGGTGCGATCCCAGATCATGGAGGGCTTCCCGCACCGCGGCTGTGCGGCTTTGGTGCGGCCCGCTGTGGAGGAGGAGGCGCTGCAGCGGCTGCCGCAGGTGGAGCTCGCTGGGCTGCGGCCAGAGTTCCGGGCCGGGGTCCGGCGGGCGCAGGGCGCACTCCTGGGGCTCGCCCGGGCCGCCGGCCCGAAGGCGGTGAACGGGCACGTGGTCAGTGGAGACATCCTGGTGCGCATGCTGACCGCCGTGGTGGAGCAGCTGAACGCGGGCGGGGCCATGGACGTGCAGGGCGCGTGGGAGAGCTGCGCCCGCAAAGCCTGCGCGGACCTGGCCGCCCGGCTGAGCGACCAGGGCGCCCGGGCCCTGCAGGCGGTCGCCGACAACCCCCAGGCGCTGCCAATGCCGGACGGTGTGCTGCAGGACGGCCTGCGGAGGATCCGCGCGGACCTCCGTGCGGAGTTCGACGCCGACGCGCTGGGCGACGCGGAGGCGAAGGAAGAGGCCTGGGCGGAGGTGGCGGCCGTGCTGGATGGCCACGAACGGGAGCTCCTGGCCCTCAATAGCAGGGCCGCGGAGGAGAGCCTGCGGCCGGCCATGGCGGACTGGGAGGCCTGGCTCAGGGACGGTCACGTCGCAGAGGACCCCCGGGGCAGCGCTTTGTCGCGGCTCATAGCCAGAGGCCTGCCCTACGACTCCCTGACGCGCTACGCGCAACAGGCCCTCGGGATGGTGCGATCTGCGGCGCCCGCCGAGCCGCCCCCCGCCGCCCCCGCCGCCCCCGCCGCCCCCGCTACCCGCGACCCTTCTCCAAGGGCGCCCTCTCCGAGGGAGCCGCCGCCCGAGGCGGCCGAAGACCCCTCGGCGGAGGAGGCGCCGCCCGCGCCGGCGGTGCGGCGGGGGCTCACCACCGCAGCAGACCTGGACGGGGCCCCGGCCAAGCCGCTGCCTCGGTGTCCGGCGCTGCGGCTCGCGGCGGGCGCGTTGCGGAGCGCGTGGCCCCCGGCGTGCTGGCGCTCCCAGGCGCCCGCGCCGGCGGCCGACGAGGCGCGCGAGCCGCCGACGGCCGACGACGAGGCGGAACGAGAGCCGCCGCCCGAGGCGGAGCCCCGCCGGGCCCCCGGGCCGGAGCCCGAGGGCCCATGGCAGCCCGAGCCAGGCACGTGGCAGCTGGTGGCGGAGGACGAGGACAGGCCCCTGGCCATCGCCTTCGCCACCTTCCCGCCCGGGGCGGCCGAGGTGGACAGCGTGGAGCCCGGCTCCTGGGCCGAGCGCGCGGGGCTGAAGCCTGGGGACCAGGTGGTGGCCGCCAACCGCGAGCGTCTCGCCGCGATGGACTCCGGCAGGTTCTCGGCGCACCTCGTCGTGAGGCCGCTGCTGCTCGACGTCAGGTCGCCGGCGAGCAGCGCGGCACCCGCGCCAGCGGGTTCAGCCGCGGCCGCCTCCGACGCGGCGCCGGGCGCGGGAGCCTCCGACGTGGCGCCGGGCGCGGCTTCGGGGGAGCCGCTGACGGTCACGTTTCAGCCTGGGAGGCTCGGTTTGCAGTACGACCGCCAGACGGGCGTGATCGGGGATGTCCGAGAGAACAGCCAGGCGCACCGGTGCGGCGTGAGGCGCGGCTGGTACATCAGCAGGATCGACTGGTTCCCCAGCGAGGGCCTCGTCACGGAGATGCTCGAGGAGAGGATGCAGGGCAACAGGCCGTACACGGTGTCCTTCCACCAGGACGGGGTGATGATCTCCATGGTCTTCCCTGACCTCAACTTCCAGCGCCTGCGGGCCAGTCAGGCGGCGTACCTGTCGTTCCACCGGGCGCTTGCCGACGTCGCGTCGCGCCTCGGGGGCCTGAAGGCCACGCAGGCGGCCCCGTCCTTCTGCCAGAACCCGACGGGGTCTGGCATCCTCGCGCGGGTGTGCCTGTTTCCACACGGCCTCGGCTACGAGACGCTGATCGCGAAGCTGAAGAAAGAACCAGTCTCGGCCGAGATCGCGCAGGCGGTGGCGCAGGAGGTGCCGGTTGCTGACCTCTTCCTGGATTCGGACCGCGGCGGCGTCGACACCCTCTTCGTGCAGGACGTGGTCGCGGCCTGTGGCGACGCGGAGCGGCCGAACGAGTTTCGCCTTGGCTACGCCCAGGCACAACTGCCGATGCCACCCCTGCCGCCCCCAGCGCACGCGCCCCCTGGCGCCAGGCCGACGTAGACCGAGCTCATCTGCGACTGCGCGGCGTGAGGCTCGTAAAGCGGCCCTCGCACGCTGAAGATGCGCGGCCGCGGTTTCGGCGCGAGAAGTGCCAGGCGCGCGAAAGGGCCCGCCTGGACCAGATGTGCCGGGACCTGGCGGCAGTCAATGCACGCCGAGCTTCGGCAGAAGGCCGCGGCCACCGCCGTCCCTGGGGGCCGCGGCGCAGGGACCGCCCCACCCGACGGAGATTGTGCGGGCGCGCAGGAAGATCGGGCCGGACGAAGGGGGGGGATTGGGAAAAGGGTGGTTACGAAATCTGCTGCATGCCGCTGGTTTCGGCCCCAGCGAGGGGCCTCTTCCTCGATACATGGCCGCCTCTGGCGCCGGGAGGCGCCGGGAAAATCAGCTGCGCGAGCTGATTCTCACCCCCCCCCTTTTGCTGTTGCCCCCTTTCGCCCGGCCCGAGAAGCACAAGTTGAGCACCCTCCCTCCTCTTCGAAGCCTTCGCGAGGGCCTCCCGGCCTCCCTCGTCGCAAGAGGCTGGGGCGCGGCTCGGAGAGCGGGTCCGCATGGGCCCATAGGGTGGCGAAAGGGCGGGGTCCCCCTGCCTGGCGCTCGGGAGGCGGGAGGAGGAGGATTGAGGATCGAGGGCGGGAAGAGTTCGGAGGGAGGAGGGAGGAGGGAGGAGGAGGAGGAGGAAGAGGAGGAGGAGGTACTTAGAGGAGGAGCAGGGAGACGGAGGAGGAGGAGCAAAGTGAGGAGGAGGAGGAGGATGAGGAGGAGGAGGAGGAGGGACGCGGGGGTGAGGATGAGGAGGAGCGAGTAGGAAGAGAAGGAGGAGGAGGAGGAGGAAGAGAAGGAGGTGAAGGACGAGGAAGACGAGGAGGAGCGTAAGGAGAACGAGACGCAGGAGGAGGAGGTGAAGGACGAGGAGGAGGAGGAGGAGTAGGAGGAGGAGGAGTGGCATGCCCCTTCCCAGCGCTACCCCCCCGTTCTGCGATGTAGACGTGTTTCATTAACAAGACAGCGGCAGAGGTTGCCAGTTTATGTCCAACATGGTCAGTCATGTTTTGTTGGGCAGCGGTCGATAAGCTCGCAACCAAGAAAGGCGGGGCGCAGCTCAAGTCGCCGCAGGGCCTCCCAACGCGCAGTTATGCTGCCGAAGGAAAGCAGTCTGAGGGTCTCGGGCATTGCGCAAGGGGGGGGGCGATAGACAATGGGATGAAGAAGGGTGCACCCTTTGTGCCCTAAAGGGGGCCTTCGAGGGGCCCGAAAGGGGGCCCTCGAGGGGCCCTCGAGGTGCCCCCCCCACCCCCCCACGAATCGCCCCCCCACAAAGCAACGCCCAAGGGTCGATGGGGTAGAGAACAACAGTTGTGCTGCCTCCTCCAGCGCTGGTCAGTCTTGCTCCTGCGGGGCAAAATCCTCGCCCCTCCTCCTCCTCCTCCTCCTCCTCCTTCTCCTTCTCCTCCTCCTCCTCCTCCTCCTCCTCCTCCTCCTCCTCCTCCTCCTCCTCCTCCTCCTGTTCGCCCTCCGGACACCGAGACGTGGTCAACTCTCGAGCACCATTGCGAAAACACCACGTGAGCAGACCAGCGAGGAGCATCGTGCTGACGCCGACTTCAAGGATCTTCCCGCTCCTCCCTCCCCCGCCATCGTGCACCACCCCACCGACACCACGTTTGCAAACCGAGCACCACGCCGACACCGACCTCAAGGTTTCCCCTCCCTCCATCCACTGATCTTTTGCTCAGGAGTCTCGCGCTGCATGGCGTCCCGAAAAGTAGGTGTTCGCTGGCCACCGCCCCATCCATCTGGTCTCAGCTTGGCTCGGACGTTGTCCGCAGCGGTGGCCGTTCGCTCGTTCCTCGCCGTCCTCGCCCCTCCTCTCCCCTCCTGCCTCCTCCAAGCGGGGGGCAGCAGCAGCAGCAGCACGAGCAGGACTCCCGCCGAGGTGCTGCGGGCCCGATGCCGAGGAGGCTTCGGAGCCAACCACGCCGCCGTGAGGGCGGGTGTGGGCCGGGCGCCCGGCGGACGCCGAACTGAATTCCTCGGGGGCAGCGCCGGGGGGGCATCCAGTCAAGACGCTGAGATGAGGGCCGCTGTGGGCCCAGGAGGGGATCGGGTTCTCGGGCCCCTCTCTCAGATCTATGTCGTGGAACCTGTATGCGGCCCAGGCCCGCCGTGGCACAGAAAAGCCCCTCTCGCTCCTCCTGCTCCGTTCCTGATGGTAGCACGGCGACTGTCGGCTCAGTAGTTTAGGTTCGATGCCTTCGGACATGTTCGTCGGTTCTCCGCCGTTCTCCAGCCTCGGGGTGCGTTCCAGCAGCTGCGCCTCGCCAGCGGGGCCCGCATCGTCCCGAGCGGCCGCCCGAAGCCCAGGGAGCGATGGGGGCTCAGGAGGCGATGCATTGACCCCCGTCGCCCATGGATCACCGATAGGGACCTGACAGCCCACCCCGCACAGGGGCCGTACCGATTCGCCATCGGGGGCCTGTTGCCGATCGATCGTCGATGTTCGAAGAGGAAAACGCCATAAACACACAACTTTTGATGCTCCGCGCGGATTCCTTGGATCCGAGCTGGCCCCCCCTGGCGGCACCTCCGGCGCCGCCCTTGGCGCGCTCCAGCGCAGATCCAAGAAATCCGCGCGGAGCGCCAACAGTTTATGTTTATGCAGTTGTTTCTTTGTTCTTCTTCTAGATGTGCAGCCCCAGGATCTCGTAAGACTTACCATCAACTTTCATGCACTCCAGATGCCGCTGAAGAAAATCCATAATCTTGACTGGACCATGGCCAGATGGCGCCGAAGAAAATCCAGAATCTGGACTGGACCCTGGGCGTCTTCTCGGACCCTGGTTTTGGCGGAATGCTTCGTACGCCTGGACCTGGACTGCGGTTTAAGAAGACGCTGGGAGTGAAGTCCCTATTCTGCCAGTAGTAGGTTTGCTAATTCGAAGTAGGGTTTAGTCGGGCGTGTCCCTCTACAGGAGGAAGATTCAAAAATAGTAAAACAGTAGTCAGGGGACGATTTGCCGATGATTGTTTTGGCTAGTTTTGAGATTTGCTTCAGTATGTTTTAATTTTCGCCCGAGATCCGCCTGTGGGGCATGGCCGACCTAAAAGTAGGGCTGCGTCGCCCGTTCCAAGTCGGTCGCTTCCCCCGCTGAGCCCGTCCCTCCCCCCCCAACGTTCCCCTGCGGCCCCATCTCTTCTGTGGGCAGCGCCCAGGGTGGGGGGTGGGGGGAAAGACCATCAGGGGGTGCACCACCTCATCTTGGAAATCGAGGGTCGCGAAGGAGGGGCTATGGAGGATCGGGCAGGCTTGGGATCGTCTTGGAGCCGCACACTTTGGAAGGCTTCGGGACGGTCACAGGTATGGGTGTACTGGAACAGCTCTGTTGTTGTTGTTGTTGTTGTTGGTGTTGTTGCTGCTGTTAGTGGTTTTGGTGTTGGTTGTTGTTGTTACCCCTCTCATTCCAATCCGCCAGCGTAGTCTTGATCTCGATGTAGGTCTGCATGCGTCGGCACAGTGTGTGTTTCAAGAGATGTGTTTCTGTTGCGCCAGCCTGTTCCGATTTCGCCAGCGCACGCTCAGTCTCTATGTAGGTCTCCATGCGTCTGCGCGGCAGGGCACGCTGGGAGGTTGACTTGCTCGGTCAAGTACTCAGCGCAGTCTGCCCCCGCACCTGGATCAAAGCGCGGGCTCCCTCCCCTCTTGACCTCGTCCCTCTCCATCAGACTCCCCGTCCTGTCCTCCTGCTCTTCATTCTCTTCCCCCTGCGGTTCCTCTTCATCCGCGTTTTCCTCCTCCTGGCCACTTCGAACTTCTGGAACTCACCCTCCACTTTGCAATTCGAATGTTGTCTCCTCCATCCCTCTTCCTTGCAAGTAGCCCCCCCCCCACACTGTCGCACCACCAGGCGTGCCCGTAGGCTGGGCAAGGCATTTCATGCTAGACTAGATGTCCGTGCAATTCGTGTTTTGGCGTTCAGAAGCTCCAAAAGCTCCAAGGTTTGAGGGCTGGTTCAACATGTAGCTCTCGCCTTAGCGCCGCGACCGCCAGTCTTCACGAAACAGCAGCAATCACAATCCCAGGCCTTGTAAATTCAAAACTGCTGCGCTCAACTGAGCGCAACGCACATTCGTCTTAGAATACCTCAACGGTCACACAGATGGATGACAAGTAGTTTCTTAAATGCGGCGGTCGCCTTAGCGCCGCGCACATTCACGCCACGAGCTTTTAACAGCTACGCGGGTGGAGGCCCGTTTGTTTTCAAATTGCGGCTCTCGTTTGGAAGGTCTTCGAATTTCTATGGCCCCGAATTTCAAAGTGCGCAGCAGCTGCACGGATGGAGGTTGGCTCCTTCTCAAAATGGGTGTCTCGCTGTAGAGCTCCACGAGTTGTATGACCAGAGCATTGGCATGGTAGAACACTTCTACACATGGCGGGGTGGGCAGTTCCTCTGCCTCAAGGGGGCTATCGTTGGACGCTTCATAACGTGCTCATCCTGGCTCTTTGCCATTTTTCTTGCTGACGCGATGGAGGGTGCATCCTTTACAAAACGGGATCTCGACTCAGTGGCCGACCCAGTGGGCGCTCGCCATTCCAGGGGGCGGCTTCAGCATTGGAAATCGATATTTGCAGAAACATATGAGGAGGGGACTTAGGACTGCAGGGTGTGTGACAACATCGTTGATGCATCCTGGGTGTACTCTAGTCCTCCTCCTCCTCCTCGACTCTTGTTGTCGGCTCCGGCTCGGCCTTTGCACATCGGCACCACGCTTGAGCGACGGGCCTGCTGGGCGCTCGTCATTCAAGGGAGCGGCTTTAGCAGTGGGAGCTATTACTTGCAGGGGCAAGCGAGGAGGGGACATAGCACTGGAGGGTGTGTTACAGCATCGTTGATGCACCCTTGGTTCACACATTGTTCATGTCTATCTATTCGAGAGTTCTTTGATTTTTGGAGGGCCAAGTTCCTCTCATTTCTAATTGTTCTATCCTCGGCCTCTTCCTG